GAAATGAGTCAACAACCCAAAAATTAGTTAATGCATTTTTTACATCCCGTGCTAGGTTTAGCTGTTCATTAGCTGTTATCACTTTGCTCCAATAAGTTTTTTTTTTTAATTTTCAAAAGCAGAAAGAAAAACTCTGCGCAATATCAAAGAACATGATTTCCATTAATATGTAAATATGTCAATTAGTGAACTCAGCACAAGAACTGATGGAAGGAAGGAATATTTCAATATTTATTTTCGTCATGTAATAATAATTCAGACACTATCATTTTGATCTTTGCATGTCTTCACTCAGTGCCAGACTGAACAGGAGTTCAGCTTCGCAGCTAAGACACAAAAGGAAAAGTCCACCTTATGGAAAAAACAGATTAAACATATTATATCATGACGAGTGCAGAAACAAAATGAAATGCATATCTGAAAAATAAGGCAATACACAAAGCTGCGCAGTATCAGCTTTTAACTTTTAATTAAGTTCTTAAAACATTGGCTCTCAACAACACAGATTGCCCTCATATCCTGAGCAATAAAACGGTGCAACCTGACACAGAAAAATTATTGTATTTTTTTTAGGTGATAAGGCATGCTTGTAGTGCAACTGTGGCTTGCAAACTTTTTATTTGCCTTTTCCCCGTAATCTAGCTTGGCTAAATGCTGACACACTGTCAGTGTCTTTGAGGTGAGGGCCTTCCAATAGAATATGGCACCCTGGACATAAGTATACTACTGCTATAATTCTTGAATGATAACAAGCCTCTAATCACTAGGTGGCAGCAACTCAAACAGTGGCATGACAGAAAATAATTCAGTGCTATACCAACTTAGTGAAAACAAGTGGGGTGTTCTGAAGACAGACCTGTTACCTGAGCATTGAGTGCTCTGACAACACCACCATGAGTTCTTAGTACTTTCCTCCTGATGTTATTTTAATCAGGAGGAAAGTCCAAAAAACCGACTCTTCAAAATTTAGGCTGAGCCAGAACACATCGACTGATAATTCAACTAGTTGACAGGGAAATTACAGCCCTACAACCAGCACAATGCCAGTACCCTGGTGTCTACTGTGCAAAAAATAGACAGGTCTTGAAAAAAAAAAACATGGTATAGGTTATTTTAGGAATGTGAAGGAGCATGATCCATAATTCAGTATTAAGTTTAAAGGACATCAGATGTTCTTGATGTTTATGAGCGTGTTCTGGATATAAAGTAGGTGACAGAATTTGCAATTCATGGTTTGACATGTCCTGTGACCAAAATGAAAGACATAACAAATAATCAAGGCATAATGTGGTTCAGCGAGTCTAGCTGCGCCGGTAGGTTGAACCATCATAAGGGACAGACTGATAAAAACAAGTATTTGTAATGACAGCTTGGTGTGAATAGGGATCCCGGCATTCTATTAGTATTTGCTTGCATGGTGGAGGTGTTACATAGATGGTTTAAAGCGAGGTCTACAAAAAGTGCAAATATAATTACTTAAAAAAACAGTATATCAAGTGTTCACATACCACAATTATGTCACCACACCCTATAATTAAGAATTAATTAAATTCTAAAATGATTCTTTGAGACATGTAAGGGGGGACGGTTGGTTAGTTACTAAAACACCAGTATTCACCAATTCATGAATTGCATCAAGTTCAGAGCTAAAAGTACAGCCAGAGAGTAGTAGTTTGTAGAGAGAGAATTGCTGTTGTTCCCAGGCTGTGTTGTGACTTTTTGGTCTGGCTGAATATTTCTGTAGACATCAATCATTATAGGAGAAGCACTGTCAGAGGTGTGTAAAGTTGTGCTGAATAGATTAATCTGGAAAAAAGAAAAATGTGAGTTAGTGGAATGGAATCCTTATTTCAAAGTACAGTGGTACCTCGAGATATGAGCTGCACAAAATACAGGAATACAGGTTCATTCAGGGTTTTGCTTGTATCCACACTCTGCGCCTGATCCCAGGTCAGGCGCCAGCTTCTGTCCTCTGTCTTGCTCTCTCAGAACTAGTCATCCATTTAAGTACTTTCTAAACCGTTGTAGTAATGTGCAGTAAGGTGTGGAGAAAAGGAAGAACAAGAGTGAAGAAGAAGTTACCCCCATTAAGAAAAAGAAATTGGCTGATGCTGATGATGACGATAGTACGTAATGATATTGATGATGTATCAGTGATGATAAGTTTTATTGTTTGATAAAACAAAATTAAATGAATGAATAAAAACAAAACATGTCCTACACTTAGTGGTCCTGACAACCTGTCGCACTTTCTCGCTCATTGTCTGTCACTTTATTTCTCTCTTTCTCACTTCCTCTTTCTATCACCTAAATCCAGTCCTCACTCCCAGTTCTTCTCCTAGCTTAGTCGCCCCGATACTCTGTCACACTGTCTCACTCACTGTCTCTCGCTAGGTTATTTTCCCTATTTTTATAACAATGATATAAAATGTTTTCTTAATTATTATTATTTCATATGATCAATGCATTGTTTATATCCCTCTTTGATGTTTAGATGGGGGGTAATTTAATTAATTAATAGTATATTTCTGGGGGGCTGGAACAAATTAATTGGTTTTTAGTTATGTTTAATGGTGAAAAGTCGATATATTCGAGATACAGTACATCTATAATATGGATTGACATGAGTGCTGCTGTGGAACGGATTAGACTCGTATCTCAAGGCACCACTGTATTATTTACGTATATATATTTATATAGACAAGCTTTTTAAAATTCAAAAAAAAAATTTATTATTTAAAATATATAATTTAAAATTATCAAATGTTGATAATAAAGCATTTTCTATTTAATTATAAACTTTGTTCTAATTTTGTCCTAGGTTTTAATTATTTAATAATAAGAAAGAAAACATCACAAAAAACACTTTAGGTCATGAAAAGTAATTGAGATTTAGCAATTCCATGATGCATCCACCTTATTTATTGAAAAGTATCGGATCAGTTTCGACGATACTGGCCTGTATTTACTTGGTATCGGATCGATACCAAACTATGCAGTATCTCACATCACTAGAAAATTAGATTGAGATATGAGTGGATTGACATATGAGCGTTGCTGTGGAATGGATTAGACTTGTATCTCGAGGTACCACTGTATCATTTATATATATATATATTATATATATATAATATATATATATATAAATGATACAGTGGTACCTCGAGATATATATATATATGTACAAGCTTCTTAAAATTCATAATTAAGCTATGCCACAGTAAGATCTCAAGAGGGCGTACACATTTAAATGTATGCTGTTTTCAGCTGCTCCCTTCAGGGGTCACTACAGTAGATCATCTGCCTCTATTTACTGTTACACTACATCTATAAACTTTCTCTGGGGTCTTCCTCTTGTCCTCCTGTCTCGAAGCTCCATCGCAGCATGACCCTAGATTCTGAAGGCTAAGTGACAACTGAAATCCATAAACCTATGCTGCTTTGAGAGGTCCATGTTGTAACATGGGATATTCACACAGAAAGATTTTTTTTTCACTTTTAATTAAATAAGTTTCTGTAGCACGACGGGTTACACGTTAGCTCTTTCCTGCTTCGGTGCCCCAACAATAACATTAGCTCCGGGGCTAACTCCCTTCACATTTCACACTTGCTGTTCTGTTTACCGCAACAAAGGTAAACAGAAACAGGGAAGTTGGGTCATTATTATCAGCCACACCGAGCACAACAGAACATAAACAGCATTTTGGTGCGCCCCACGCTAATATACGCACAAAGCCATTCACAGCCAGACATATGCTACTAGTATAACACACAGTGGCCTACCAGATAACTTAGCAAGAACTTTGCTAGCCCATAAAAATCCATAAATTAGCCGCATTATTGTTTAAGCTGCAGGGTTCAAAGCATGTGAAAAACGTTGCGGCTTATAGTCCAGAAATTACGGTAAATTATTCCTGGATGGAATACCTTGCATGGCCTGGACCGCAGGCACTATCATCCTGTGAAGCTAAAATTGCTATTTGCTTGCTTGAGACAGAGTGAAGTTCCCATTCTGTTACATAGATCTTTAGTTGGACAGATTGCTTTAGGTAAATCAGCTCCATCCTTTGTAGAGTAGTACTACTGAGTGATAGTCAACCATAATCACTTAATTTTTTGCATTTAAATGCCAAATTGTCATTGTTGTTTCAAAAGGGCACTGACTGTCACCTATACTGTCATCATCATGGATGGCAGCAATACCAGTTGCTCCACTATGCTGCTCGACTTAGGCAAATGTCACCTCTCTAGGCTTGGGACCAGCACGAGATGTGCCCCCACAGTGGCTGGTCTTTAGAATAATTCAATTATCACTGGATATACTGACATATCCATGCAACGGAATTCTTTCCTCTACATTATACCCATAAACTTCTTACTGGGCAGCAATGGTGCTTTTAGAAGTGGGCGAAGACCAAAGATATTGATGCTTGCTCAACACACCACAGACAGCCAAGGCGGGATTCAAACCGGGTTCTTATAACAATCCTTTTATGACGACACACTGCGACAAGGTGGAGAAAAGAGATGGAGCTGCCAGGCACGAAGAAAAGAGAACGATTCAAAGGGTGCAGGGGAAAAAGCCATACAAGTAGATGATAGTTGACTGGAGAGGAGGCAGGGGATTTGGTCAGATGGTGGCAGATGACTGCTGTGACAACCGCTGAAGGGGAATGCCAAAACACAAAGAAAAAAGATATATTCCCCCTTTGCCCTCTTATTTTTTGAAGTCTACCCACTTCACAGTATTCCACCACGACTACAATTTCTCAAATCATGACTCATAAAAGCTCTATTTGTCACAAAACCTCTTAAAAACAAGACAGATTTACCAGGTCTTTGCTGACTTTGATGGTCTCTTTGAACACAGTCCAAACAACAGCCTCATTGCAATTGGGTGTGGTAAGAGAGCCCAGGTACCGAAAATACTTGGTGCGATTCACACCATCCAGGAGATCATCAAGGGATATATCCTGATCCATTGAAACAGAGTCATCTAAGAGCAGACAATATGTCCAATCAGCCTTGAGTATTTTATTACGACAGCCATCATATAAACCCTTTGCTTACCTTTATTTGAAATTCTGGACAGATAGGAAGTCAGCTTCTTCCAACTTGCTGGTTGGCCAGATACATTACTTGACATTTCCTTAAAAATAAATAATAAAATATATTAGCCAATATGTTTACCCAAACCATTCCATAAATTAATATGGTAAGTTGTGGGAATAAAAACAAATGATTTTTACATAATTTAGTTAAATCTCAATTGAGTGAAACAGCTACCATATTTTCCAGACTAGTCGCACTTTTTTTCATCCTTTGGCCTTGGTTTGCGACATATACTCAGGGTGCTAGAGGGCACTGGTGCGACTCTTACTCCTGAGCTACTTATATACCATATGTTTTTTTCTTCTTCATTATGCTTATTTTGTTTGGTGCGCCTTATACTCTGAAGCAACTAATAGTCCAGAAAATACAGTAGTAGTTTATAACTCAAAGTGCCATCCATGAGTACACATGTTGTCTACTAAGCAAAATTGTCTTATCTAGAAAACGTTGTAGTTAAAAGGTTGTGAAATGTGACATATATTTTACCTCTATGAAGAAACCAAGAGCAGCGAGACCCATAGAATCTGCAACCCCCAGGGTTGTATTTCCATTATAGGATGACTTGATATTCACAATGTGCAACTGAGGAAAATTAGAATATATGTAATTTGCATATATAGTCTAAGCATTGGCAAGACAAGAGTTCCAGTAACAGCATTGACTGCAATTACATATATTATTGATAAACAAATAATACGTTAATAATAATAATTAATTAATAATTAATAATTAATAATAAAAATAATTAATTGTCAAATGTCTAGCAGAAAAAAACAACAACTGATAGTCACATAGAAAGTCAGAACAGAATAGCCTACCTATTATTATTATCTGAGATACTCTCTTGCAGGATCTCACAAAACATATCTGCTCCTCATCTGGCACACTACTCTCGTTTGACTGCGCTGTGAACTTCTCCATCTTCAAGTGGGTTCTCCACGTCCGTCGCGGCCCGATCATTTCTCATGTGCAATGGTCGTTGTACTGCGGATCAAGTACAGTTGCGATGGGTGCAGGGGATCCGAATAGAGCTTAGTGCTGACACACTCTATGAGTGGACTTTTCACCCACTCTTGAAATTTCAGCATTCCGTGGGTCTTTCTCAGATATATTGAAATACGTCAACACCGCAGACATGTTGATACTTATGGCAAGCCGTTTCAACATTTAAACACTAAGCTGGGTATGTATTGCAAATATTTCTGACGTAGTTTTGACCAGTCAAAAGGAAAATTTCAGATACCCGACAAGCCTGCACTGGTTTTTGCTTGCGTCATCATAACTTGCTGTTTTGGCCATGTTGTGTCAGTGATAAAAGTCTTTTGTCCCAAAACCCAAAATGCCCTTTCGGGCCAATTTAGGCCAAAAATTTCCAGTGGCTGAAAATTCGATGGATCCCTACTTGGTATCATTAATTATTGAAATGCATCCAGAATTGTAGCACTAGTACAGCAGTGCGGTGCCTCAGTGTACTGTTTAGCAACTGTTTTTACTCCCTTTTGTCACAGTTCTTTGGTCTGCACCTTTGGCACACTAGTGTGCCGTGAGAGAAAATTGTAATTGGTATAATTGGTATAAATTATTTTTCTTTGTTTGTCAAATTTTAAAAAAGAGAGTGCGGTGCCTCAGTGTACTGTTTAGCAACTGTTTTTACTCCCTTTTGTTCTTTGGTCTCCACCTTTGGCACACTAGTGTGCCGTGAGAGAAAATTGTAATTGGTATAATTGGTATAAATTATTTTTCTTTGTTTGTCAAATTTTAAAAAAGAGAATCAGAGCTGTTAAAGATCTTTGTGAGTGTGTTTCCTCAATGCCTCTGAGTATATCAGCGTTGTTTTCAACCAAACAGGCCGAGATTTCACACTGAGTTAGTAAATTGTGAATAAATTTAAACTAGATTATTAAATTTCATTACATATATTTGTGAGATTTTTTGTTTGGTGGTGTGTTGGTCGGTTTTTCTAATGTAAAATATGTAGCTCAAAAAGTAATTCAAAAAGCCATCAGTGCAGCTGTAACTCACAACTCTCTTTCTTGTGTTGGATACATGCCCCCTATACAGGCATAACATGAAGCTAGTGAGAGAGAAAGAGAGAGAAAATGCTTTGGCTCGCAGAAATAAACAAGCTCTGCTCTTTTACCTAACCAGTGTGCGTCAGCAACTCCCTGATTATGACAAAAAATATTTTGCCCTGCAGCATTATCTATGATGTCTTTTGTGCCAAACCTTCAAATCTTGTCAAAAGATTCAAAACCTCCTAACCAGCTGCTTTTCTTTTTAACGTTGACTAATGGAAATAATCCAGCTTTACCTCCATGGGGTAACGCTTTCCATCCACTGTGTGCTCAGAGCCAGGAACAGAGGCACCATTTCCCCAGTGCAAATGAAACTGCAGGCTATCGTACTCCTCGGGTAGATCTCCTCCTTTAACTTTCACACCACTCCTAAAATTAACCTTTACTGCAGGTAAAAAAAAGAAAGAAAAAGAAAATAATAGTTTTATATCAGGGAACTGCAAGTAAAATTCGTAATAAACATACGTGATATGTAAAAAATGTTTAAAAATACATCAACTTTTTGCTAAGGCTGGTTTATAATGTATTCGTTTGTTTGTTTTTTTCATCTTTGATTTATCATAACATGTAAAAAAAAAAACATGTAAGCAAAAGTAAGCACGGCAAACAGCACAAAGAGGCACCTGTTTTTCCAGTATTTGTGATGGTTTTAAGTACAGATTTCCTGTGAAAGTTTTCAAAGGTGAATGCCGTCAGCTTGGAATCAGGCTTGACAGCCGATGTGGCGATGTTGATGGGTGACTGTCTGCTTCCATTACAAAATTGGGGAGCAATTTCAGGCCATTTTGCATCATCTGGAAATAAAAACCATGTCCGTTACAGCACTAACAATGGCAAGAAGAAATGTGCATGACACACTTCATAACATTGTTCTATTTATGGCTGAAAATGAAACAACTCACTGCATGTTGAAAGATGGTAACACCAGGCTGCATGAAGAAACCAATTGGTAGTTATTACTTAATAAAAAGACATTTTCCTTGATGGGGCTTAAAAATGTATAAAATACATTTTCTGTCTTTCACACACACACCACCCCCCAAAAAATAGCAACGAAATTGAGCATTAAAGCCACAGGTGAAGCATGTTGATTTATTTTAAGTTAAAAATAAATAAACATACAATAATTCCTGTAGTTTGAAAAATTATCTAAATACATACCTACTGTGTTTCCGGCACAATAGATGCTCGGTATGAAGGTGCAAATTGCAAACACGGCTGTTACAAAAATCTCCATCTAAAAGAGTCAGACCAAGGGTCATAAATTAATTTTACAATTGAAAGCACATCAAAACGTGATTTACCTGTATATAATGACATATTTCACCAAAATGCTAATAATTCTTTTAAGGTATGGAAACAATTCAGGCCAATTGACTTACCTTTGTTAACCACTCTGTGTCTTCATAAGCTGGGGCATCGGCCTCCCCACTTTTATTTTCTTTGCTCAATTGAATTAGCTCCTTCCAGCACTAACAGATCACAAGTCCTTGAACTAAACTCAATGTTTTTTATCTACTACATGTTGTTATGAGGAATTATTTGTAAACACACCAAATAACCCCATTGTCATAGTGTTGTATTGTGCATATTCTGTAAAAGTAATCAGTACCTTTGGGTAATGTGGATAGCGTACTGAGTAGATGTTGTATTTAAAAGGGATACCTAACTTGCACAAAGTCATACAATAAATGCACGATAACTAATTAATTTATTAATTTGTTAGTTAGTTAATTAATTAATGCATGTTGTTATGTGGTGAAGGACAGCGACACTTCTTCATGTTGAATTAATTTTCACCATCTAATTTTAGGCTTTACCAAACCAGTTAAAATTACTGGTGTTGAAATCGTAAAACCAATCTTTTAACATGAAGTATTTGTGCCTTCAGCGTGATGGCACACCATTAAGCATTTCTGTCCAAAGGCTGTAGTACATGTGGCTCTGCTGTACAAGCTATTTCAGGAGAACCGTATGCACTGCCAGATTTTTGATTAACGGAAAAGAAAAGCAACAAAAACATAATGAGCCTGGCATGCAGGGTGGATGTTTAACAAACATACCTGCCAACATACTGCCACACCTGCCTCTTCAACTGTCACATGTAGACATTTACTTACTATTACGGAAATACAAAGGGATGAAAGGTACGGAATGTAACACATTGAATGTATGACACACAATAACAAGCCTGCAGTTAGGTGTGTGTGTAGGGGGGGGGTTTACAGGAGTCCACCAGAGTTCAGTCTCACAGGTCCAGGGAAGAAGCTGTTCCTCAGTCTGGTGTTCCTGTCTTTGATGCTTCGTAGCCATCTGCCTGAGTGGAGGCGGACAAACAGAACATTTGCAGGGTGAGTGGGGTTCTTCATGATGCAGGAGGCCCGTTTCCTGTCATATGATGTCATAGGACAGGACACCCTCCAACACATTCCTTTGGTTCATAATGTGCCTCCTTACCCAAAGAAATCAGTATGAACACACATATTTTGTTTTCAGATTTGTTTAATTCACACATTTTAAATGTAACCTTTTATTTTATGCTAGCATTGCTAACTTCGGTCAGTTGGCAGGAGTGAGATTATGTGTGCGGAGAGGGATGGGGGTGCACTGCGCAGGGCTGCTTCTGCTGCTCTGAGCAGATCAAACAGGCAACAGCAAATGCAAGGAAGAATATAAAATAACAGTCTCATTTGCAATATTTTTATCAGATATTCACTTAACACCATCTCTTGTTAAGCATTTAGAGCATTAGACAATATGCTGCATTACGTTCCATTCATTTATTCTATCCGCAGCCCACATCCCGCCCCCCTGCAATGGCCAGTGACCCCCTTAAGGCCCTCCAACCCCCCCACATCCAAATGTATTTATATAATTGCATTATCATGGTAGAGTGGTCTCTCGTTTCTGCCGCGAAAACTGAATTTCCGCGAAGTAGTGACACCATATTTATGCACAGTAAAATGATGATGAGGAAGGTGATGATGACTTTTACTGCGCAGCCGATGATTGATTTTACATCTCTTCAGAGGGTGGTGCCCTTTCTTGGTGCACCTCTTCCACGGTTTCAGAAGGTGTATCTATAGTAGTAGCAGGGACTGGCTCTTTTTTGCAAGGAAAACATTGTGCAGTTGTTTCCGCTGCTTCTTTTTCCAGTCGAAGAGTAGCTCTTCGAGTAGTTTTCCAGCCAACAACTTCTGTTGTGATATATATAATATATATAACTTCCAACTTACAGCAAAAATTCACATTACGTCACCAACAACAATGGAACCCCAATATAATTCACGGACCTCCTGTATATACTGTATGTGGACATGTGATAGACTGTCCATGGTGTACCTTAGCCCTCACTAGTTGACAGCCGTGATTGACTCCAATGTCCCCTGCTGTCCTCCAAAGGAATCCATCCATCCATCCATCCATTTTCATCCGCTTATCCATTACCGGGTCGCGGGGGCAGCAGTTGCCACCCAAATCACATTGCACCATACCTAAACCTTCCTGCGGGTGGTGAGTCCACTGGAAGGTACCAACCGCCCTAACCGGGATTTGAACTTGCCCAGGAGGTGAACCCTGGAGTTCCACACCAATGACAGAGACATTGCCTCTGGGCCAAAGCGCCACCCTCCAAAGGAATATAAGTTCTTAATGGATAGGTGGAAGTTTACATTTACTATATTTACAGTACTCTATTTTCCCTGGTATGTTGGGAAAATTCCTGGTGTTTTTTAGGAAGGTAGTTCTAATTCTAATTGTAAAACTTTCCATTGAGGCAAATATATGAATTTGGGCTACAAAAGAAAAATTTAATTGATTTGAATTTTAGTCTATGATCAGGTATATCTTTATCTTTTTATATCTATTATTATTAGCTAGTTTATTTTTTTACCATTTGAAAGTTTGTCAAACTTATAAAAGTGATATGAAATTTTGAGTAATATTTTCTGATTTCGTAGTATAGTATATGTTTGTGTGGTATAAAAACAACACAACAACAATACAACTGATAAATGAACATGAAATATTTTGGTTTTGGGTTGAAATTAAGTGAATTACTTTTCTCATTTTAAATTTGACAAAAGAGACAAAGGTAACTTATTACAGGCATATAAAACAGATCCCTTGTTCTATAAAAATGCCTTAACTCTCGTGTTGTGTGTGTGTGTGTGTGCATGTGAACCTTAGTATCGGCAGCACTCTCTAGTGCCAAATTACCTCCATCCAACTTCTCCACACAGGAAAGAGAGGCACTAAACACACTGCAGAAGGATCCCAACATCACATTCTTCTTAGCAGACAAAGGGAAATGAACAGTAATCCTCAACACCTCCAGCTACCACTCAAAAGTGAGCAGCTTTCTCAGTCACACAACAATCTACTAGTTCCTCAGACAAGACCCCACTAATATCTACAAATCAAAAGTGGTCAACTGCCTACAGAAGCTAGAGAAGGAACGGGTTATTGACCAAGCTCTGTATTCCAAGCTTTATCCAGGCTATGCTGTTCCTTGCACCTACGGGCTGCCAAAAATACACAAAGGAGGCTCCCCTCTCAGACCTACTGTAAGCAGCATAAACTCAGTTACATACAACTTAGCTACAGGAAAGTGAACTCCTTGTCATTGTGACACACATCACTGCACACAATGAAATTGTGTATTTATCTCTCTGTATTTATCCCATCACCAAAGTGAACAGCTTTTAGCGTAACTTGGCAGCTGGTGGATTCAAACATGCAACATTCCGGACCCACGTCCGCTTCCTTAACCACTAAGCCACCACTGCCCACCACACCTTGCTACCATCCTCTATCTATTGGTGGGGGACACCCCACACCATATTATAAACTCAATGGTTTTCACCGCCAAAATCAGTCAGATCAGACTGGAGGCTGAATAAACTATGGTATCTTACGGCATCCCCACTGGAGATGCAGTGCAAGCAGTAAAGAGAAAACTGCTGCTTGATGACAACCTGACGGAAAGGACCAACCTCTCCCCTGAACAGTTGTGTGACCTTCTTGACCTATGTCTCAACCTATTTCCAATATAACGAGGGTTTCTACAGGCAAAAAACGGCTGTGACACAGGATCGCCAGTATCCCCCATTGTAGCTAACCTGTATATGGAAGAGATGGAGAGTAGACCGCTAACAACTTTCATAGGCTACTCACCAAGACATTGGTTCAGATTTGTGAACGATACCTGGGTCACCATCAGGAAGGGGGAAGTTGAAAGTTTCACTGACCATCTCAACTCCGTGGATAGAAACATTCAATTTACAAGAGATGTCAAGGACAACTGATTACCTTTCCTGGATTGTATTGTGCACATTGAAAGAAATGGGGAACTCAGCCTGGGGGTATATAGAAAACCTACCCACACTGATCAGTACGTTCTGTTTGATTCACATAATCCACTTGAACACAAATTGGGGGTGGTCCGTACCCTTCAGCACAGAGCCCAAAACATTCCCTTAGAATCAGAAGGGAAAAGAACAGAACACAAACACATACACACAACAGTGGTGATGGTGGTATGCGGTGGTGAGGATTTCTGCCTGACCACCACTTACTTCCAGTTCAACAAGTCTTTTTACAGACTGGCTGCGCTATGGGCTCTCCTGTGTCTCCCATAGTGGTGAATCTTTACATGGAGGAAGTGGAGAGCCAAGCTCTACACTCCTACGTGGGAACAGCACCCAGCCATTGGTTCTGAGTTGTGGATGACACTTGGGACTAAATCAAGGTCCATGAGGTCAACAACTTCACAGATCACATCAACGCAGTGGACAGGAACATCAAGTTCACCAGAGAAGATATGAAAAACAACAGCCTTGCTGTCCTGGACTGTGCGGTTCGCATCTCAGAGGACAGACATCTCAACATAGAGGTGTACAGGAAACCAACTCACACTGACCAGTATCTCCGTTTTGACTCACACCACCCACTGGAGCACAAATTAGGAGTCATCAGAACCCTACAGTCATAGGCAGACACCATTCCCATCACTAACATAGGTAAGATGAGAGAACAGGGACACATTAGTACAGCCCTTAAGACTTGTGGCTATCCCAGATGGGCTTTTTTTTTAAAAAAAAAAAAAGGCCCACAAAGAGGGAGGAAAACAGGAGAGGGAATGTCGTCATTCTATACATTTCAGGAGTTTCGGAAAAACTCAGGAGGATCCTTAACCAGATCCTTAATACCAGATCCCCGTACACTTCAAACCCGGTAACACCCTGAGACAAAAACTGGTTCATCCCAAAGACAAGACACCAAGAAACAAGCTGGACAATGTGGTTGATGCCATTCAGTGCAGTGAAGAGTGTACGGACCTGTACATTGGGGAGACCAAACACAGGCGCGTGGCCCAACACAGGAGGGCCAACTTCTTAGGACCTATCACCCACATACAAAGCATTCTTAGGAACAATACCCAAAAGATTATCCTCAGTTTCCCACAACAAAGGGGCATGTGCCCGAAACCATTCTGATGAGGATCACAACAACCTATCAGGCTCCTAACGACTGTTTACATTTTTCCAGTTGACCCCAACACCCAACCCAACAGGGGGGAGCTGAAGTAAGTCCTTTGTCACACCCAGAGTATATATTTGCTGTACTCCCCCCAACCAGTTAGAACTAAAGTTAGAACTCTTGGATGAGAGGTGAAATGTCTTCTTTTAGAAAATTCATGTCCAATTGCCTAACAGAACTCTTCAACCTTGACCATGACCTGGATAACGAATAATCTTCATAGACATGTTTTGGTTATTGTGATTTTGTTGCCTTTTCCTGATGCAGGATTGGGCATTGAGCAACTTCGACACGTGCTGGAGAAGGTTTTTTGTTTGTTTGTTTGTTTGTTTTTTGGATCGTCAAGTTTTTTTACTGTGGACACACTGCACTGTTGGGAAGTCACCTGGAGTTCACAGCCAGCCATCAGCACCTCGATTAACAACTGTTGAGGACTTGACTGAATCTGTATATAATCTGTGTTCCTGCATTTGGGTCCGTCATACCCTGGTTGTAAGACCGTAACAATTTTTACGCAAAAGGCGTGTTGCCAAGGTGAAGGAACTTGGGAGCTTAAAATAAATTGCAATGAGATTGTTTATTAAGCCTATTAAGAATTTGAGTTGGCAGCAACAATGCATTCTTGTTGGCCTATAGAGCAGTTGGTTACAAGAGATAAAACTGAGACAAAGTGTTAACCACCACCAGGTCTTTTAGTCCTTCTTTTTCTGTCCAGAGGACATACCTAGCACTTTCCTACCTGTCTCCCTAATCACTACAGCTGTAGTCTCCCAATCATCTAGAAATTTCTCAACAAGGCCCAAAACTGCCCCTACATCCTTCCTGAAGTCTTCACAACACTTCTTTTTCCTTAGTTTCCACCACTTGATCTTCTGCTCTTTCTTCCCTCTTTTCCTTTTTTTCACCTCCATCATCATTTTACACACTACCATTCAATGTTGTTTGCCTACACGCTCGCCTGCCACCACCTTACAGTCTCTAATCTCCTTCAGGTTATCTCTTCTACATAGAATATAAATTATATCTGTCGACCTGTCTCCACTCTTGTACGTCACCCTGTGTTCCTCTTTCATTTGGAAATAGGTGTCTACCACAGCCATTTCCATTCTCTTTGCGACATCTACCACTGCCTGTCCTTCCAAATTTCTATCCCTAAAGCCAAACCTGCCTATCACTCTCTCATCTCCTCTGTTCCCTTCTCCTACATGATCATTAAAGTCTGCCCCAATTACCACTCTCTCTCCCCTGGGGATACTCTCTATCATCCAAGTCCAGCTCATTCCAGAACTTCTCCCTTTCTTCCAACTCACAGCCCACCTGTGGGGCATAACCACTAACAACATTAATCATCACTCCTTCTATTTCAACCCTCACACACATCAACCTGTCTGACTCTCATTTCTCCTCCACCACATTGCTTGCATATTCTTTCTTTAGGATCATCCCTACTCCACTATTCTTCCATCCGAACCATGATAGAACTGTTTGTAGCCTCCTCCAATGTTTCTAGCCTTGCTGCCTTTCCACCTGGTCTCCTGCACACACAAAACGTCTCCTCTTCTTCTCTCCAACGTATCAGATAGTTCTCTACTTTTCCCTGTAGTTGTACCTACATTTAGAGTTCCAAACTTCAGACCAACTTTCTGGGTATTGCCAAAAAAAAAGGCAGAACTATAACCATAATATAAATAATTTGTAAATGTAAATGTCCAATATAAATTGCCAATGTTTGGCAGGCCTTAGTTTGGTCATGCCTGATCTATTACGTGACTTTTTCCAAAAATATATATATATATTTTTTTTTTTTTTTTGCATCCCGGGGAATGACGCCATGTGAAGACAACTCTCATTTAATACATACCAAGCAGCCAGCAACACAAATGTAAACAACAATGGAGGGAGGAAAGTGATGTGCATTTTCTAGCTGGAAATACAGTCACTATTTTGAGTTCTGTTTCACTATTGGAGCAACGTCCCCTATTTCTGTTTTGATCGTGTGTTCTTTATTTAGATTGCAGCCACAATAATCATTGGAAAATATTCTAAAGAAAAGGAAAAGACTTTAGATAATCTAATAAGTTTGGAGAAATGGTATTGAGTGACTTTACCCTGACAACAATGTTTGTATCTAACCCTTTTAATGTGAGTGTTTTATGTGTAAAACAGCACCCGTGGTGAGTCAAGTTGGCTCCTACCGAAATGTTTCCAATGCCACGTCACTGCTGCTTTGCATGCGAAGGAACATTTTATCTTGTTGAGACTAAGTAACCCAGACAGTTCCGGAAGACTTATGCTAACCTGACCGGTTCATAATGGATACTTACAAAATGACATGTGATCATAGGCATATTTTTAGATTCTGGCAATCATACACCAAGTTCATTTCAGCATTTCAGTCATGTGTCTAATAACTTGTCTCACCAGTAATACCACAAGACTACTGTCTATATTTTTAATCACTGTGTTATTTCAGTAAACACAGAGCAGAATATACTGTTGAAGATTGGGGCGAGCTTTAATAAAAAAATCCCATAAATTCCTGTAAATATCTATGTACAGATACTGCAGTCTGTTTTAAATTTTTGGCCAGTGTCTTATTCTCAAGACACCACGTGAGGCAATCAGATAACTATTATTGAAAAACAGTAGAAAAGATCTAGTATTTCATAATGTATATTTCATAGTCTTTGGATTTTTGCCATTGACAGTAAATTCATTCCTAAAAATGATTGTTAGGACATAATACAAAAACAATTTTAAATGGAAAAAAGTAAGGGCGCTTTGGCCCAGAGGCAATGTCTCTGTCATTGGTGTGGAACCCCAGGGTTCACCTCCTGGGCAAGTTCGAATCCTGGTTAGGGCGGTTGGTACCTTCCAGTGGACTCACCACCCGCAGGAAGGTTTGGGTACGGTGCAATGTGATTTGGACAAATGTTCCCAATTCCCCAGAGTGGAATTCTTGTGGTTTTTAAAAATATTTTATATTTGAGCTTTAACGGCAGGGGAAAAATTACAGCAATTATAACAAGGTGAATGTCAGCGTGAAAAGTTT